CACATTGTAGTTATTGGATTCCTCCATGAGTCACTTCTCTCTTAATTTTATCTCTTTTAACCGGTTCTATCGCAAGTGCAATACTCGCTGTTCGCTTTAAAAATACTTACGAAAATGTCAAGATGCTGAAGATATTCGCCTTCGCTCTGGGATTTTCGACGTTTTCGGTGTACACTTTTCCATCCATGACGGCGTTGTTTCACAGGAATCTCTTTTCTGTGCAAAGTTCTACAATGGACCTCCAATTTACACCTCACGTATACGTGCACACACGCCGTAATTACATTCGACGACGTTTTTTGCGGAGAGACAGAAAGAACGATGCAGCGAAGAGATCTCAGCGGGGACTATTATAATATTGCGTACCAATTGTACAAAACACCCGCCACATAATTCTCGCTGTAGTCTCTCCTTCCCTCGTAGAGAAAGATTAGATACGATAAAATTGCAATCTTATCTATGTTACATATGACGAATAAAGCAACGGATCTTTAATATTGTTTATCATTGCGCTCATATTATCAGTGCACGCATATTTCTACGTAGCCCGATGGTAATTGTAATCAAATCTGAAAAATCCATTTTTCTGCTCGACACATAAGTTACACATTATTGAGCGTTGTTATTATGTTACGAAAAACAGGGACAACTGCAGTACGAAAAACACAATTGAACTCATACATACTGGAAAATACCGGAATAATCTATTCCCTCTATTTAAAAAAATGGTCAGACTGCGATAATTTACTGTGGCTTATACGAGGTTGTCTCTTTCTTTCGTATATTATCTTAGTATCATGCACATACAGTGTATTGCACATTGATCATGTGATCGACGTATGTTACGATTAGTTAAAAAAAGAATTCTTAGTAAAGAAATTGTAATGTAATTTCAATGAAATTTTGATAAAATATTAATGACGTTTCGTTGAATTTTAATTCGTTTTTGAAATATTTTTACCAGTAATTTTTATTAAAAACTGGGATAAATATTTATGTATTATGCGTGTCTGACTGCATCGATTACTTGATGGTGCGAATAATAATGACATGTGCAAACGTCTTAATTGTTTATAGGAACACGTGTTGCGGTGTTAAGGATAATCATTATCCCCCTTGATAGCAAATAGTCGTCAAAAGGCACATAAAGTGCGTTTACTAATTTTTATTCAATGCTTAGCTTCTTCATTTCACGAATTATTATTCGACTATTCTCATTATTTTGTTTTATCCAAAATTGCCTTTATTTACAAATACTATACAAAAAAAATCAACATGTCATTTCTCGCTCATGATTACGATTCAATATGGCTGAAGTGAATACTCAGGAGACAGGAGACTTAAAACAGAAAAATAGAGGGAAAATATATATATAACGAGTAGTAATTGCATAAATAATCATTTGTATCTACAATTTGTTTACAATGATTACATTACATAATGTAGGCACTTGTATGTAGGTACTGTTTGTTTTTTTTATCTATAAGTACAACACATACCTACATATCTATATACATAATAAATATTGACAATGACGATTACAATACGATTGCGTTTCGTGTAATATACGATATACCTTGGAGTTTATATCATAAATCGCGCTCGTGCCTTCTTAATCTTTTTTCTACTATTAATATATTTCATAAAATTATGCTTTAATATCTATTGAAATAATATTGAAGCACAATATAGTGAGTTTGATTCAATTGTATATTTGGCGATATTTTTAGAATAATAAATCACAAAAAATTTTTTCGATTAAGTTATTTTTTTTTAAAAAGATTTCATAATGACTTAAACGTTTTAAATTATTTTTTCTTCAATGCTTTTTAATGAGGTTTATTTCTTTAATAGAATAATATATTTATTTTATTATAGTTTTATAATATTCTTTATGAATAATTATATAATAAATAATAAAGTATAATTTTCGATAGTTATCACCACAACCGTAATAAGATAGATATATTATTTCAATTAAAAAATTTAAAAAACTCTATATAAAAAAGTATTTTACAAAATAAAATTAGACAATTTTTTTTTGATAATTTAAAATTTTTGTTCAAATAAAAAAATTAAATACGAAATTTTTTAAATAAAATAATTTTTAATCGAAAAAATTCTTAAATAAATCTATCTATTATTTAAGTCCATACACTTAAATCAAATACTGCATATTTGTAGTACAATAATATATGTAATCGTACTATATTGTATACAATTTATTGTATATCATAGTAATAATACATACTTGTACCCGTCGTGTAACTCATAAATACACATATGTATAATCATACTACATCGTACAATATACATTTGTGTATCGCAGTACAATAATAACAATATTTATAATGTAATTGTATTACAAAGTGATCAACGCTTCAGTGATCCTCTGTTGAAAAAAATTTCGCTGAAATTATTCCACGTTTTGAACATTTCAATGAAATTGCTGAAAATTAGCTCAAATTTCATTGAAATTTTTGCTGAAATTTTTCTGAAATGCTGAATTTTTGTTAAAAAATGTTCCAAAATGTGAAATAATTTCAGCAAAATTTTTCCATCAGGGGAGTGAGTTTAAAAACATCACATACGCTTTTAAAAATTATGCTGCAGTTGAAATGATTAAAGTTATTGAGGCGACTGCAAATGATAGAAAATAGATTAAAATCTAAGCACGAGGCAATTTTGATCTACATAGAGTGTCTTAGATCGATCCAGTTGCCTTCACTTATTTGATATATGATAATATACAAATTATACAATGATTTGATATAATTAATGTATTATTTTTGGAGAATCAAAGGTTTCCCATCAAAGATTCAGATTTCCAAGCAATTTTTATTCATTAAGGGATTAAAAAATATACATTTAAAGATTAAAAATATGTATTATATATGTAAATAAAAGATTCCAAATAAAAGATTAACTTAAAAAATTGAAATCACTGAATATTTAAACATCAGTACTAAAAATTAAAGAGCCATGTTGATAATTCATGTTGATTTTCCACTTGGCTCGCGGAGAGATAAAATGATTTCTTCACTTGTTCCGAATATATTTTCGTAACACAATCGATCGGGGACACTCGCTTGTTACTTTTTAGGCCTGGCAAAAATTCTTGAATATATAAAACAGGATCTTTTAAAAAGGCGTAAGTACTTTAATTTAACTGCTTTATAATCTTATATTATTTACACAAAAATTGAGTACGCTGCGCCTTGCTATTTTATTCATACAATTATAAGATTATTGATACAATAATAAGAGAACAATAATAGAAAAAAATAATGTTGCACGCTTTGTATTTAAGTATTTCAGCTTTAAATTCTAGAGGCACCTTTTACTTTTTGGTCTTCCTTGTACTTATAGCACCAGTACGATAGGAGGAACATTGTAAAATTCTTGCAAAATCACAAATACAAACGGCCTCGGTAAAGTGAGGCAAATATATAAATATACGAATTATGGACCTGCAATGATTGGTTTTTTTCCAAATACTCTTTATACGTATTGATCAAAATATATTATAAGTATAAAAAGTCTTCTTTCTGCATTATCTATACGCTAAGTACAAATCTCTTGACCCGTTAATTCACCGACTGATCCTGTAGCTGTTACATCCTTGAGAATAATTTCTTCAAGATCGAATTATATTAACTAAACCACATTTAAAATTTTTTCGAATCAAATCTAGAGCCTCAAGATCACCAAAGCGATATCAAAATTTGCGGTCTTTAAATGGCTATGAATCGGAGATAATCCGGTTTTTTTATTTCTTAGAACTTTAGTTCTTAGAACCTTGTACTTCGAAAAAGAGCATAAGACTAACAATTTATTCTCTCCACATTCACATTCACTATTTTTTTTCCACACTATTTCTGTTATTATTTCTTTCATCTATGTTAATATTTGATTCGCATATAGTATTTCTGTAAAAAATTTACTTCTAAAAAATATATATATACAAATGTATATACAAAAAATTCTTCCCTAAACCGTTTATGGCAGTTTGCTGATAAGAGATATCGGTGAGCAAACGGGTTAAGTTTCATCCTTCCTGATGAAATATCTAAAAGTCGGGCTTATACAAAATTACGTAATAATACTATGGTAACTTGTAAGATTGTATCGCGATCCACGCGAACTATATTGATTTCCTAATTGCTCGCTGCAATGGCCTGCACTAGCGATAATCGCGCGTCATTACATGGAGATTGCAGAAAATTTGCGATTATTAAAATGAAAAGACCAGCTAAACGGAACTATGCAGCTTGCAGCAAATTATTAATTCATTATTTCGCCGACAAAAGTTTTGCCACTTCTGCGTATTCTTTCGGCATCCCTCGAGTTCTCGGTTCCCTCAAATCTCTGAATTCTTCTAATTAGCTCCCTGGAATTTCGAATTTGTAATTCGATTTTGACCATACACATTCCTAGATTTTTTACATCTCTTAATTAACACTTAGTTAATTTTAAATTGCATTTGCATTATGGTAATCTAAAAATCCTAACGTCCCCAATTTTTTCCTATCTCTATAACATCTTCATATACTTGCTTTAGATTACCATTCACAATTCTTTACATTTCCATTCAGGGATGCTAATAATTCTAATTGAAAAATCTAGAAAACTGTGATACAATGGAAGAATGAAATGCGAACAGAATATAGAAAACGGAGATAATATAAGAAAGTAAACATCGATGACTGTAAATTCTAGGATTGAATTTCAACTGTGTTCTACCTTTCTTCTTATTTTTCAAATCCTAAGAATTTTGCCTAAGAACTGCCCGCAAAAAACGGAACCTTCGTAGCGACCTATTGTAGGCCTTCTACAATAAGTCATAAATTAGAAGTCAGAAGCTAAAAATTGACCAATCACAGTCGT